AAAATTAAAAAAAGTAAAACGTAACGAAAGTAAGTTAGTCGTACGTAGGGTAGGGACGACTACGTCCGACTAATTAGTTAACGTTACGTCACTACTACTATGTCAAGACTCCTCCCTCCTCTCTCTCTCTCTCTCTCTCTCTCATTGGACAACGAAGTTCATAAGTATGCATTTTGGTAAACACATCACTCCATATGCAAAGCTTCTTCTCTCTCCCCAGCCTTTTTCAGCAAGTATAACTCTTTCATCAGGAGACCAAAAAAGAGATCAAGCATGCCTAGTATCAAAATGCAAGAGCAAATAAGCCTTCCTATTCCAACCGCTGGACAAATGGAACAGTCTCACAGAATGCCCAATAGAGATCTACAGCCCTATAAGATGATCCCAGAATGCAAAAGAAAATGAACTCCAAAAATACAGAGAATGATCAAAGATGAAGGAGTAGTTAAGGAAACTTACAGCCAGTAATGTCTGGACATAATGTTCATCTGGGATACAGTTGTGTTCTTTTGAAGCATCTGTAGGCTACAAGAACAAAGTGAATGTATTAATAGAAACTCATTTTATTTTTCTAATTGTAATACAAACTCATTTTCTACATTGGAAACAAAATGATAGTTAAAAGAGAGAAAAGTCTTACTAGGGAATGGTCTCTCCAGAATTCTGGAAGTGACCGTCTCTGCACAAAATGCACAAAATTGTCAAAATTTTCATGTCACACAAGTATCAGAACTCTCAAGGAAAAAGGAAGCAGGAGAATGCAACATCTCAAGTAATATAAAAAAAGGTTTCTCTTCTTTTCCATAATTAAGAGACTACAAAAATTGACAAAAGAGGAATGAACGTGGGCTTGAATGGTTAGTTATTAATGATCGCAACACTTCATACCAAGTTTGATGTACTACTGCACCACCCAATAAAAGAAAGTGACCAAAAGAACATGATTCTGTACTGGATATTTTGAATATATTGATCAAATTACCGATGAGAGATGAACAGTTTAACATCTTATCATATCTTTTGATTTAATTTCAAAATACCCATAAAAGAACACATGTTCTTGAGTTGGAATAGTAGCAAATGGGTAAAATGTTAAATAGTTAATCTCTCATGGGTATTTTGATAATTTTACCTTTGAATATTGTGCTTCATGTTGCAGAAAATCACAGCAAATTAGTAGCTAGAACAGCTCTCCACATGACCAAAAAATAAATTTAGAATGTTCACAGCATGAACAGGTAGTGCATGAGCCACTGTTTCTGATAGCCGACTTAAAAGCAGTACAGAGGCTCATTTGTAACCCAACGGATGGTGGATTGGCTCTCCCATGGTAGTAAAACGCACATTGCTCTGTTGGGTAAAGTTCTCTAGCTACTATTATTTTTAGGACACCAAATTATAGGGATGTAACCTACTTAACCGAGCAATAAACCTGGAGAAAGGAATAATTTTATCCCTGAAGAAAGTAACGTCCTAGCCCAGGAATGAACAAAGACCTCCCAACTATTGGACGGCCACAATCACGTGTTCAAGATCACAAAATCCAATTTTTGTTGAGAAACTCATCTGGTGATTCTAAAGTGGATCGCACAATTTCTGATAAAGAAAATTCTCCAAAGTAGGTCTTTTGCCCAAGGGTGCAAGTGTAAATCCCCTCCCATGGTAGTATGCTATACGCGCTCTAAGGCAGAGCACTATAATGTCCCTCAAAGTTCAAAACCATGCTTGAGGGGGGGGGACTTTGGACCCCAAATTTGGGGAACATACCCTACTCATCCTAGCACCTGTTTGTGTCAAATGTGTTCATGCGAGAAAAGATGAATCCTAAATGATTAGAGAACTAGAGAGGAAAACAAACATAAATGGGAGTACAAGTTCAACCAAGATCACATATGATCAGGGCTTTTTCATTAATATAAAAGACAAGGTACAAGGAGTTCCTTTGGTATCCTATTTCATTCACAGCTAGATTGTTTTATGCAAGGGAGAACACCATTGATTTGGGTTTCATGAAATTTTACAGAACAAAATGCAGACGCTAACCTTATGACACTTATATACTATTCATATTGTATACCATTCATATGCTTGACTATGAGTGCAGTGGATCCAGCTGCTTTAGCTCTTTGATGTAATGCTTTGAAATTTTACAGAACAAAATGCAGACGCTAACCTTATGACACTTATATACTATTCATATTGTATACCATTCATATGCTTGACTATGAGTGCAGTGGATCCAGCTGCTCTAGCTCTTTGATGTTATGCCTTGAAACTAAAAGGTGTGATTGTGTAGAATTCCAAAGTATAAATTCTAAATTTTTTCTCTTTCTTTTAATAATTGGATTTTCTATTTATAATTGTCACAATACAAAATAAAATAAACCTACTACAGTCTAGGATCTTTAAAACTTACTGCCATACAGTACTTTATTAAGAAATGAATTCTAATCATCGACTCATATTTTTGATAGAAAAAATTTAAAATTTTTGTTTTTCCAAAAATTATATAGATAGTTTTTAGTTGAAGCAACTTATACCAAAAGGCATTGTTGAAGGTTATAGCAGCAAGATATAAAGTTTCCTATATTGAGAGTTTCCTATTTTGTGAGATTACAGTTGTAATAAGATTTGTTTCCTAAAAGACAAGAATTGTAACTCTATAAATCTCTGGTAAACCCCAGAGTAATCCCTATGAATGAAATACTGGTTTATCCTCCATGGATGTAGGCACAATTGCCGAACCACGTATGTCTTGTTGATCATTCGACGTAGGCACCATTGTCGAACCATGTAAATGTCTTGTTTTTTTTGGGCAATTATGTATGTGTCTTGTTGATCTTTCTCTTTCTCTCTTCACTATTTCCTTTATTGCAAATTCTACAAGGTATCAGAGCAGGCCGATCTAGCAATAGCGATTCATTGCTCAATGGTGGTTGCGTCGTCTCTCTTGATCGTGGTTCATATCTCGTGGGTTCGTTCATAGTGGTGGAGCAAGTTTGAATGGGTCCATCCCTACCTTTTTTTTCCCTCTCTCTCTCTCTCTCTCTGCTTCTTGCTTTGTAAATTTGAGCCAAGACGTCTTTCTCTGATTTAATTGAATTGGCCAAGCAAGCAACGATTTGAACCCCAAACTTTGGGTTGGTTGGAAACATATTTTTTTTTGACAACTGTTGGTTGCAAGACGTCTCTCTCTTATTTCTTGCATTAGTTTGGGTTAGTTGCAAAACCTTTCTCTAACTATTGAAGAACTTGACGAGCCATAGTTTGCAAGTTCGACCAGACTGAGGCGTCATCCATTAAAAGGATCCCCAACTGCAACTTTGACCAAATTGAGGCGTCATCTATCCTTTAATCCTGTTTGCTACTATCAGATCAGTCTTCTAGCTTCTTTTATCTCATTGTAATGGCAGGTCCATAACATAACTCTAGCAGGAAACTTCCTATTGCTCCATCGAATGGACTTAATTATCTTGCTTGGTCAAAAAATGTTTCTCATTCTCTCTTTGAAAAGTCTAAACTTAGACACATAACTAGGAAGAAAATCATGAATCTTGATTTCAAAACCTCGGAAGAAAGTGTTGAGAAATCTTCCCTAGTAGCTAATAATGAGAAAATGAAAATAAAAAGCCCTAAAACTAATGGTGAAGGTGGAGGCCCTAATAACCATCAAGATGGTGGAAGGTGTCGTAGTAATAGAGGGTATTCTAGATGTGATCACTGCAATAGTATAGGACATGTGAAGGATAGGTGTTGGGTATTATACCTATGCTCAAGGCCCATCAATAACAGGACAACCGACAGATCTACCGCTATGACCGCAATCATTCAAACTCAAACCCATCACTGCAACTGTGATCATTATCAGCAACCAAGTAACAACACTGGTTCTTCCTCCACACATGATCCTTCTTCTTCATTCCCAAACATAGGTAACCGTTATGCTTCCATGTCTTCTTGTGATACTTTTACTAGGATAATAGACTCAGGGGCCACATATCATATGAATGGTAACTTATAGTGTTTATCCAACCTAAAAAATAATAAAAATATAAACCTTGTGTCTATGGTTAATGGTTCCTTGATTCCTGTTCATGGTGTTGGTAAGACCAAATTCTTCTCCAAGTCTCATAACTCAGAAGTTATTTTTATGCCATCCTTTTCCTCTAACTTGATGTCTATTAGTAGAATTACTTGGAGCATGAATAACACCGTTATTTTATCTCTCAACTCTGTAACTTTCAGGATTAAGCCACGGCGTAGTCTTCTTCTTCTAAACCAGTTTGGTGAGTTTTAAAGGTATCTTTAGCGTCGGCTGACTCATCATGACTTGTTCCGGGTGTGTTGGACACATCACTGGTACTAATATCGTGTGTTGGAACACCTCAGTAGAACGAAATTGTTAAAAGGAAAAATAGATACCTTTTGGAAGCTACAAGGTCTTTGATGTTTCAGATGTATGTTCCAAAAATTTATTGGTCTGAAGCTATTTTAACTGTTTGGTATTTGACTAACAGACTTTCGAGTAAAATTCTTAAAGATAAATATCCCTTTTGGATCCATGGATGCGTTCTATGGTGATGGCTGATGCTCTTATGGCTTCCTCACCCCCTCTATTCCTCTCCCTATGGAGGGGAAACCTCCTGATCCTCGGGAGCTTCTTTCTCGTTTCTACGGTAGTAGTTTTGTTTGTTGTTATGGTGGTGTTGGTCCCTTAGAGGCTATGACCAGATGTGCTCGCATTAGCTTTGTTTATGATGTTCGAAGATCCTCTTTTTATGGCGGTGATCATCTCAATAATGATGGGGATGGATCTGGTTATGATCCATTCATTTATGGTCACAACATTATTGGCGGAGATGGATCCAGGTCTAACAGATCTGCTCATGCTCTTTACATGTGGATAATATTGATAATCGAAGATCCACTTTTAATGGAGGTGATCATCAAACGGATCTGATCCTGCTCTTTTGCATGCGGATGATATTGGATCTCGTCTCACGAGATCTGAAGATTGCAGAAAGGACAACGAGGCTATGATCCTTGACCCTGCACCTCAGGATAGAACTAATATCAACGGTATTTATGGTTCTAGTGATCTAGCTTCAAAGGTAGATTCTGGTGCTGCCTATTGTGTGGTATCTGGATATGGTCATGCTGAGATGCCTATGAAGGATAATATTATGAAGGAAGATAATGGTACTGCTTTTCGTGTGGTATCTGCCTATGGCGGTGACTTCAAATCAGGTTAATCTCTGATGTCTGCGAAGGGCAATATCTCTGGTAATACTCCTAAACATCATATCTCTTCTTGCATTGACGTACATAATGCTTCTTATGTGCGTTCTAGTTCTTGCTTGGGTGGGTCTCCTGATGGTAATGTTTACCAAAAAAGGATGGGTTACTTGTTAGCCATGGTAATGTGAACACTAAAGTTATGGGTCACAAGCCTTTGGGTTGTGTTTCTAGTTCTACAGAAGATAGTCATGAGGCTGCCCACCTTGGGATAGTTTTGGGTGTTCGAAGTTCTGCCCCTTGCAATGATACAGATCATGTTATTGACTCCTTTGGGGTTGCCAATGATGCTGAGTACGGTCAAGGTCTCAGTTATGTTTTCGTGATGGTTATGGGGTGCATGCACCTACGGCTGTGCGTGAGAATGCTGATCAGTGAGCTCTT